CTTCGATTGACCTCCGAGGTTGGAATGTGCCAGAGGTGAATCACAAGACGGAGTGATCCTCGAAGTGAAGGAGCCCACGCGTATTCCACCCTGAGCCCTCCACCCTGAGAAAGTGCTCTGCTTACGGGGGTCCACCCTAAGAAGGTGCAGGAGCCCGTGTGTATTCCACCCTGAGCCCTCCACCCTGAGAAAGTGCTCTGCATACCGGGGGTCCACGCTGGTTTTAGGTCGGGCATGTCCCCCTACAGGCGGATTTTGGACGACCAATGAAAAATACTCAAACAATGCCCTAGAATAGTCGAAACAATGAAAGATGGCCCCCATACTATCTTTTGACTCTGTTTGAATAGTCCTCCCGTGCGGAGCACGCCCGACTTAAGACTGGTCCACAGCGTCCATGTACAGTCGGGGCGCTGAACAAGGAACCCTTTTCGTTGAGGAGGGGCCCCGCGTTCCTTGAGTGTTTCGCAGCTTGCCTCAGGTTGTCCTTAGGTTTTCGATCTGACATCGAAGTTTCACTTATGGAAAGAAGGGGCCTCGCTCCTTATTTTGGGCTCCTCAGGTCTCAAGGCCCCGACTGTATTCCACCCTGGGCCCTCCGCCCTCAGAGAGAGTGCTCTGCTTGCGGGGGCCCCACCCTTAAGTGCTCCTCGCCGCGCTGCCGGCGCCTCCCCGGCCGCGCTCCTCGCCGCGCCCTCCCGGGAGAGAGGGGGGGGGCCAGGCGCGGAGAGGGGGGGCCCCGGCGCCGACGGCCTGCGGAGGGCGTCTGCCCGACGCAGCTCGCTTCTCACACAGGACGGCGTCGCAACGAGAATCAGGGCGGGAGGTTTTTCGCCATCTTCGGCCTCTAGAGGCCCTCGCCGGGCCCCAGGACCTTCAAAGAACGACTCGGAAGAGTGACCTTTCGCCGGAGTGGCCTCTGGTGCGGGCACAATGGGGTTCCCCGATCGCCAAACGCGTTGCGATAGTAGCGCCTTGCGCGCCTGTGTTTGGTCCCCCCGCGGTCCCCCAAATGCCGCGCACCAAAGGTCACTCTTACCCAGGGTCACTCCTGCGTGTAGCCGAAGGATGAAAAACTGGCCCGGGGAGCAGGGTCTGGACTTCCTGGGACGCCGTCCTGAAAAAATCAGGACGTCGCATGTCTGGGTTCTCAGCGGCGGCTCGCTCTCTCGATCTCGCTCTCCCGCCCGCTCCCGCCCGGCCAAGCTTCTTTCCGGAGTCGGTCCCCAGGCTTATGATGTTCCAACCCCACTTTAGCTTTGACCGCCAGAAAGAATTTCGAGCACAAGCAGAAAATACCGGAACTCGAGGGTGTTCATGTGTCTGGCCCTGGGAGACACGCGTCCGACATTGTTTCGACACTCTTTCGACACTGTTTCGACACTTTTCCGAGTGCTCGATTTTTTTTGGGGGATGTGGTCCTTAAGTACGATGGGAGCAACATAACCCCAGACACTCCGGAGGGGAAAACACACAGACACAATCATTCGTCGATTCCCCGGAAAATAGTAGAAACTATGGAAGTGTGGGGAGGGAAGACGAACAGCCAGCAAAGATGCAGAAATAGGAGGAATCCTGGGAGCTGTGCGGATTCACTTGTGTCCATGGACCCCCTCAGACACCTCAAATCTACGCCTCCCAGATGGGGTCCGAGGCGATGGGGTCGGAGGATCGTGCCGCATCGCCGACGCGTCCGCGATGCGGCTCGATGTGGAGCCCGATTTTCGCCATGCCGACGGCGCCGACGCATCGCCGACTTTGCCGATGCATCGCCGAGGCATCGGCGATGCATTGGCGATGCGGTGCAATCCTCCGACCCCATCTGCTCGGACCCCATCTAGAAGGCCCCTATCGAGGGGGTCCATCCTGGCCCCATTGTTCGAGGCGGGGCCCAGCCGCGGCAGCGAGAGGCCTCTCAGGAGCCCCCCCCCCCCCCAAGGCGAGCATCTCGCAAGGGAGGGCCCCCACCGTCTCGACGGGCCCGCGTTCCGAGGTGTTCCACGTCGGGGGGCCTGTCACCGACCTTTCGGCGATGTGTCGGCGATGCGGGGCCCTTCCTATCTCCCTGAGTCAGTCCAGGAAGAGGAGGAGGAGGAGGAGGAGGAGGAGGAGGAGGAGGAGGAGGAGCAGGGAGAGGTGGAGGAGGAGGAGGAGGACCAGGGAGAAGAGGAGAGGGAGAAACAGAGAGAGAGAGAGAGGGAGGAAGAGAGACGAGGAGGAGGAGGAGAAGGGATGAGGAGGAGGAGAAGCAAGTGGAGGAGGAGGAGGAGGAGGAGGAGGAGGAGCAGGAGCAGGAGGCGGAGGAGGAGGAGGAGGAGGAGGAGGAGGAGGAGGAGGAGGAGGAGGAGGACGAGGAGGAGGAGGAGGAGGAGGAGTAAGGAGGAAGGGGAGGACGAGGAGGAGGAGGAGGAGGAAGAGGAGTAGGAAGGGCAGGAGGATTGGCCCTCATCCTGGCCCAAGACACAGAAGACCTGCCACTCCAGGCCCGTGTCCCGCTCGATGTTGTCGCCGCCCTCGTTGCGCGACCTCGTGCGCGCCTGGCCGATGGCGAGCCGCGTGTACCCGGAAAGCTTACTCGTCCTCGGGGGCAGCGGCTGCACATGTTGGCGCCTGGATGGCACCGGGCAGCTGCTGATGATGGGCCTGTTTGCCACCACCACCACCACCACCACCACCACCACCATAAGTTGGAGGGGGAGGGGGTCCTCCTCCTCCTCCTCCTCGTCCTCCTCCTCCTCGTCCTCCTCCTCCTCCCCCCCTCCAGCTTATGCTGGTGGTGGTTGAAAGCAGGCCCATCTGCTGAGAAGAACAGGGATGTCCAGGAGGACCATGTTGACCACGAGGCGTCATGCGGGGTGCCAGCCTTATGCTCGACGGTGTCTGTAGCGCGCCTCGGGGCGAAGGCTCATGCCATATGTTGCGCATGTGTCTTGCACGTGGGGGGATCCTTTCGATGGTGGTGTCGAGAATTTCCGTGCCAGTGAGAGTGAGTATGCAGAGAAGGCGTTGCAGCAGTTGCGGCCAGACGTTCCTCCATTTTCACCAGATGGATCGGTTCTGAGTGAAACCGACACGTCCGATTTCGAGCCACGGCCGACATGGTTGCAGCAGTGTCTCCTGTCATCTTCTGCGGCATCTGCGTGCGATGGTCTTCTTCCACCGATGTACTGGACGCTCCCGAAGGGCAATCATTGCTGAGCGCACGGCAGGACCGCGATGAAGTGGTGCAGCAGGCAGCCCACGCCGCGAAGCTTGCGATCGACGTGGACTGCTATTCCAACCCACGTGCCGAGCAGGATTTGGATCTGGTTCCGGATGCCCGTGGCGGCCAGTGCTGTCGTTGCTGCCAGCGGTATCCGGACAAGGACACGTCGCTGTTGCACGAGGGCCTCCCTCACGGCCTCGCTCCTCGCAGCTCGCTTCTTGGATGCAGTCGGGGCCCTGAAGAGGGAACCTTTTTCGTTGGGGAGGGGCTCGGTGTTTTTTGATTGTTCTGCAGTTTGCCTTCTGTTTTCCTGAGGTTTCCCACGGGAGATCGAAGCTCAACTTCTGGGAGGAAGGGGCCCCGTTCCCTATTCAGGGCTCCTTAGGTCAACGCCCCGACGGTATGTCTTCGACCACTGTCTGCGATGTCAAAGTCGCCCTCCGCAGACGCGGTGCCCACGCTCGTGCTACCAATGCGTTTTTTCCCGCGCGCTTGGGACGAGCAGGGCGGCTTCTGCGAGCAGTGCCAGAACAGACGGCGCTGCAGGAGACACGTGGCTCGTACATCGCGTATTGGACTGTCTTGACTCACGGGCAGAAACAATTGCCCCTACCCTGGTTTACGAGGCGCTGTGCTCTGAAACTCCTGTGGGCTGACAGGGTAAACCCTGCGTGATGTGCCGCGTCCTGGCGGCTCTAGGCTTTGGGGGTTCCCAGGAGGTTTACAGACCACGCACTTGTAATCCAGGGTAGGGTAGTTGTTTGATCCCTCAATTGACGATACAATCAGCAATGCCTGCAAATGTTGCGAAGATGGTGACCTCAATCAGGGCGCACTGTAAACATGGTCGGATCAGGCTACGGTGGAACCGCACGCACCGGCAAGTATTCGCCCGGGCATCGCGAACAATCTGACGAAGGTTTCCCGCCGGCGGAGGAGCTCCCGAACTCGATGGTCTACGTGCACAAAGGATGCTTGTTGGGTAGTGTGTACCCTTTGCCCCTTTTGTCCGCCGCTGCGTGCCTGACATTTCTGCACCTTGCATTCGCATAGGCCCTGGGCTTACAAGCTCAGCTCCCTGCAGGCACTCAGATCAGACGCGGCTGTCCAAACGCCCCTCGATCTGAAATTGGAGTTCCCCTGGCTGTCGGGTCATACATCGTGTCTCTGGCGACGGTTCGGGACGATGTTGGCACACCCAGAATGCTTTCGGCGAGTCACAGCTTCTGGAACGCACCCCGAGGCTGGACAGCCGCCAGAAACCTTTTAGGAAAACGCCAGGAAACCTCAAGCTTCGAAGCCCTCCGAAGCTCTCGATGTTTGTTCGGCGCCCTTGCACATCCGCTTTCCAGGCGCAGCCGCAGCTGTTGGAGATGGGTCAATGTAATCCCTCGGGTCAGTCCAGGAGGAGGAGGAGAGCAGGAGGAGGACGAGGAGCAGGGAGACGAGGAGAGGGAGGGGAGAGGGGGGAAATAGAGAGAGAGAGAGACGAGGAGAGAGAGAGAGAGAGAGAGAGAGACGAGGTGGAGGATTAGGAGAAAAAGCAGGAGGAGGAGGAGGAGGAGGAGAAGAAGGATGGCTGCGTTCGAGTCGAGCTCCGTAGCCGACAGCGACAGCGACAGGAAGGGGCGAGATGAGGAGGATCCGTGAGGAGGAGGAGGAGGAGCAGGAGGAGGAGGAGGAGGAGGACTCCTCAGTCTTCCAGGCGCAGCCGCAGCTGCTGGAGCTCGCGCAGGGCTTCCTGGCCGACCTCGTCGCGCCTGGCAGCTGCGAGCTGCGCCCGGCGCCGCCGCCGCCGCCGCCGAGCGCAGGGGCGCCGCTCCCGCGGAGCGCCGCGGCTGCTCGGGGCGGCGCGCGCGGCGACCTGAACTGCGAGGACCGCCGGCCGGCAGGCAGCGACCCCCATCTCCGACGAGCCCCGCCGCGTCGCAGGCCTTCGTTTCGGAAGAGAGTGCTCGGGTATGGCCAGGACCCCGGGTAAGGGGACGCGGTTAGTGCTAGGGCCCTGGGGCCCCTCAAGTGGCCAGAATCACTGAACCAGGCTTGCCGTAACTGGTATTTTTGTCGGGTGACGGCGGTTCTGGTGAGTGGAAATGGGACGGGGGGGGCGCCCCCGGTACAAATCACGAAACCAGGTTTCACTAAACCCAGTTCTGCCAACGCCCGAATTGCGACGCATTTCGGCCTGAGTATTCTAGACATGTCTAGTATGCGTCACGTAATAATCACAGAGTAGCAGAGGCATCAGATTTGGAGCTCCTGGTAAGATTTTGCGTCAACATGTTTTCGATGTGTACGCCTTGCGATCTGGGCGCTGCGATTCTGCTTCGCGCCGGGCGTTTTTGCCAGGCCTCGAACGAGAGAAATCGAAGCAGACAAGAACGCCATAGACAAACAATGTCGGCGCTCCGCGCGGAGCGCCACAAGTTTGTGTTCATGCTTCGCTTTCCTGCTTCCAAGAGCGCAAGTCTGACTCTCAATTCAAGCATTTTCGGGCGTGGACAGAACCCCCCCCCTGACACATCGATTGGTGAATTGTCCGCTCTCGGTTCTCGAGAGGGCGCCGCGGCCGACATTTTCCAGGCTTGCGCCCAGGTTTGGGCCCGAGGTCGTTTTCACTAAACCAGATTGTGTGACATGGGGTTCTGTCCATCCCCAGTATCTGTTCTGTCGACGAGCGCGTTCCGCTACTCGCGAAGTAACTACTCGCAAGTGGCCTGGACCCCCCGCGGGGCATCTACGATAAACTACAGCAAATCAGACAGGTTTTTTTGGTTTCGGGCGTCTGCGAGTGGGCACTTTGCGAGTAGTGGACCGCGCTCGGCGGATGGCAATTGTAGGACTCGGGCAGCCCTGCACACAGCCTCGAAGCCCGAGCGCGTGCTTGCCCGGTCTCGGACCGCAGGGCCTCCACTGAAGGCGGGCCTAGACCCTCTACAGGGGGAATATCCAAAGATAGTCAAGAAGTAGTCTGGGGACGTTTTTGAATCGTATTTTTGAGCATTTTGGGAGTAGATTCTGCGTATTCTCACCTTTTCCTCAAAATCCCCTTTGTAGGGGGGACAGGCCCGACCTAAGCCTTCACAGATCGGACCGGCCCGAGGACATCGAAGAAGAACAAATTGCACAAACTTCATTTTTCGGAGGTCCGCGCGGATTTCTCGGATCGGGACGGGAGGGGAAGACGAAAAGCCCAGAAGATGGGAAGGTATGGGGCAGATTGATGAGACAATGCTCGCAGCATTCGAAGGAGAATTAGCCTGGCGAAAGACCCAACCATACGCAGTTGTGAATACCGCAATTGTGAATACCATCTTCGCCCACGCTCCCTATGTGGCCACGGCTCCCGCCGGACCCCGACATGCTCAGGGGCACGTTCGCCCCCGTCTTCGCGGGCGCCGACGACGACGATGACGGCGCCCCAGTGACCGAGGAGCAGAAGCAGGAGAGGGTTCTGAGAGCCATGAAGGAAGCTGCCACTGGCGCCCTCGGTGGAGCTCCTCTGGGGCCACGATCCTCGTGAGGGGTGTGCCGAAATGGCCCGAGGCCGCTCTGCGAACCCTTCCGCTGGGGCCTTCGGTGGAGCTCCCCATCGGGCCACGATCCTCGTGATGGGGTGCGCCGACATGGCCCGAGGCCGCCACGCGAACCCTGCCACTGGCGCCTTCGGTGGAACTGCTATGGGGCCACGATATTCGTCAGGGGTGCGCCGCGATGGCCCGAGGCCGCCATGCGAACCTTGCCGTTGGCGCCTTCGGTGGAGCTCCCTATGGGGCCACGATCTTCGCGAGAGGTGTGCCGAAATGGCCCGAGGCCGCCGCGCGAACCCTGCCAGTGGCGCCTTCGGTGGAGCTCGGCCACGATCTTCGGGAGGGGTGTGCCGAAATCGCCAGAGGATGCCATGCGAACCCTGCCACTGGGGCATTCGGTGGAGCTCCCTATGGGGCCGCGATCCTCGTGAGGGGCGTGCCGAGATGGCCCGAGGACGCCATGCGAGTTCCGCCATTGAGACTTTAGGTGGAGCTCCCTACGGGGCCACGAAACGTGACGAAACGTGTGAGGGGTGTGCCGAAATGGCCCGAGGCCGCCATGCGAGTTCCGCCACTGGGACCTTACGTGGAGCTCCTTATGGGGCCACGATTTGTGTGATGGGTGTACCAAAATGGGCGCGGAGATCGCATGCCAGTTCACGAAACTTGTTCGGGGGTGTGCTGACATGGGCGCGGTGGCGCCATGTGGACCCCACTGGGGCCTTCGGTGGAGCTCCCAATGGGGTCATGGAGCGTGCGAAGGGTGTGCCAAACTGGGCGCGGTGGCACCATGCGGACCCTTCCATTGGGGCCTTCGGTGGAGTTCCCTGTGGGGCTACAGATTGTGTGAGGGGTCTGCCGAAATTTGCGCGATGACGCTATGCGGACCCTGTCGTGGAGCTCCCTATGGGGCCACGAAGCGTGTGAGGGGTGTGCCGGATTATGCGCCATGCAGGCACTCCCTCCCACCTGGGGTTTTCGGTGGATCTCCCTAACGGATCACGACGCGTGTGAGGGGTGTGCCGAAATTGGCGCAGTGTGCGCCAGCGGACCCTACCACTGGGGCCTTCGGTGGAGCTCCCACGCCCACGAAGCGTGTAAGGTGCGTGGCTATACGTGGAAAGGGAGGCAAGAGGAAGGAGAATCAAGGAGACGCGGGGCGCTGTCCCTTCAAAACGAGGACTCAACACCGCAGGATGGTTGGAGCAAATCAGGACATCGGATCTCTAGGAACGGGGTTTGGCGCAAACGGGTGTCAGCCAGAGCGCCAGATCCTGCAGGATCCTGCAGAGCCGGATTCTGGCCGAGCCGTGTCTGGGATCGGACGCCACGTGCGAACCCTGCCCCACCACCCCATTATTTCCCTACCTAGGCTCTGCCTAGAGGGTTCTTACTCTCTTTCTTAAAGGGGCCGGGCAGTGCACACCGCCCCGGGCGGTTCCCCCAGTATCCGCCCCGCGGTTCCCCCAGCTACGTCCCCTTAGCTTAGCGTTGCTTATCTCATCTTAGCTTAGCTTAGTTCATCTTAGCTTAGCTTAGCTTCATATTAGTTCAGGTTTATATTAGCTTAGCTTACCTTCATCTTAGCTTCGCTGAGCTTTAGCATAGCAGGGCACAGCATGGCATTGCACAGCGTGGCATAGCATAGCAGCATGGGTGTAATTCCCTACCTAGGCTCTGCCTAGAGGGTTAGATTAGCTTAGCATAGCGCAGCGCTGAATTAGCATAGCATAGCATGGCATAGCATAGCCAAGCATGGCATATCATAACATAGCATAGCATATCATAGCATAATTAGGCATAGCATAGCATGGCGCAGCTCAGCATAGCATAGCATAGCATAGCGCAGCATAGCATGGCATAGCATTGCATATCATAGCATAGCATAGCATAGCATAGCATAGCGCAGCATAGCATGGCATGGCATAGCATAGCATAGCATAGCATAGCATAGCAACCAATGCTGCTTTCCTAGGGGCTCCAACTTCTAGGTAGGGTCGCACTGGGGAAGTTTTAGAGGGGGTGGGGGGGTCACTTGGCTCGGCAGGCCCCGAACGAAGCGAACCCCACCTCCCCCCTAGAACCTAGAAATCGTGGGGTGGTGGGGCAGGGTTCGCACGTGGCCTCTCAATTATACAGGAGCCGCTCGCGGCCCTGGAGGTGGCCTCGCCTCTTGGCCGGGCCGGGCCACTGGGGCGCCCCGGGAGAACTGCGGCGCAGTCGGCCCCTTTGCTCCGAACTGGCCGGGCCAGGGCTGCGCCGAGTGGGGCCGGGAGATGAGCAAGCAGCAGCCCTCCTCCTCCTCCTCCTCCTCCTCCTGCTCCTCGTCCTCCTCCTCCTCCTCCCCCTGCTCCTCCTCCTCCTCCTCCTCCTCCTCCTCCTCCTCCTGCTCCTCCTCCTCGTCCTCCTCCTCCTCCTAGCCCTCCCTGGCCTTGTGTTTTCGTTACTAACGACTTGGGCCCCCGGAGAGGCGTCTCGCCGCCGCGGCTGGATATCCGCCTCGCAGGGGCTCTGCGGCGAAGCCCGAGCCGTACCCTCGCCGATCAACGGTTCAGGCAACTAAGACGAAGCCAGGACGAGGATCATCCACGAAAACGTCAGATAACCCACGAAAGCTTCAGAAACCTCGAAACTCGCCCCCCTCTTGCTCCCCCTGAGACAGAAATCGAGGGCCGCGGGGGCCCTCGCCGCCGAAAGAGTTCCCCCGCAAAACAACCGAATGGCAGAAAAGGTGAAGCAGCGGGTCGAGGAGTACAGTGGGAGCCCATGCCAAGAAACACCCTGCTTGCCTCCAGGGTGCCCTGGATTTCTTGGGCTTCGATGGTTTTCTGCTATGGGAAGGGCGATGTTCTTACACCCAAAAATCCATGCACGTCCTGGGGTCTCAGGGTCGGGCTTCTCGTGGAAGGCTTCTTGGTGGTCGAGCTCCTGCTGTAGGGTTCGGAATCTGTCGAGCACTTGGCGAGATGCGAGGCCCACCCCCGCCCCCCATCGATTCGGGAGACTCGGTGGTCGGCGGGGGCTTCAGAGGCCGCCACCTAGAGACAGAGATTGGCGTGGACCCCTGGGAATGATGAGCGAACAACTCACACCCATACCCATAGGAGGGTCGAGAGGAGGGGAACTGGCTATGGGTATGGGTGCGAGTTGTCGGACCCTGGGGGAAGCTCCCATTCGAGCGGGGACCCCCATCCGACAACACGCGCCCATAGCCTCCTCCGTCCCCCCTATGGGTATGGGTGCGTGTTGTTCGATCGTCAGGGAAGGGGTCCGGGGGACCGATCCTGCGCGGACTCGGGCCAGGCGGGAGGGGCCGCAGCTGTCCCGAGTGGCCCTTGCACCAGACGTGCGCGGTCTTGATCTGTTGGATGCGCGGCCCCTGGCAGCCCCGGCCCCTCTCCCCAGGCCGCGGCAGAGTGGTCCCGGGGACGTGCCCAGGGAAGGGCCGCGGCGAGCCCTCGACGGCGTCGCAGAGAGGGGTCCAGGCGGGGCGCCGGCGTTTCGCCACGAGGGTGCGCCTGGACGCGGCGTAGTTGGCCACTGCCTCTGGGGCCGCCGGTTCGACGGGCCCTCCTCCGGGAGGACCCCAGCAGGGACTACTTCCTGGAGTGGCCCAAGATCCTCGCCAACGTCGAGAGCCTGCTGGCCGCCTGGGCGCGCGGCGGTGGGGACGTCGAGGGCTCGCTGGTGGCGTTCGTGGAGGACCTCGCGTCCAGGCTCAACATCGACCGCGCGTGGCCCATCTTCAAGGTCACACCGATCTGGGCTTCGCAGCTGGGGCCCGAATGGGAGGGGTCGGAGGACCGCGCCGCATCGCCGAAGTGCCAGCGATGCGGCTCGACGTGTGTCCCGATCTGCTCCACGGCGATCTCGCCGGTGCGTCGCCGACGTCGCCGGTGCATCGCCGATGCCTTGCCGAGATGTCAGCGATGCGGCGAGATCCTCCGACCCCGTCTACTCTGACCTCATCTGGGAGGCCCAAAGAAAAACGCGTCATGAACAAGAACAAGGCGGGAGTTGTGTGCGGTCCAGCTGCTCTCAGCAAGTCCCGCCACCGTGCCAGGCCAGACCAGTGTTCGAGGAGGCACGGCAGGCCGTCACGTGTGACACATCATGTTTGCAGGGTTTGGGAGAACGGTGATGATGATGATGATGATGATGATGATGATGATGATGATGATGATGATGATGATGATGATGATGATGAGAATGATAATGATGTTGATGATGATCATGATCAGGATGGTGATCATGATCCTGATCATGGTCATGATCATGACCATGATGGTGGTGGTGGTGCTGGTGATGGTAGTGACGATAAGTCTGGTGATGCCGAAGTTGATGTTGATGCAGGTGATGGTGGGGATGATGCTGCTGATGATGCTAACGATGGTGATTATGATGGTGGTGGTGATGACGATGATGATGATGATGACGCTGATGCTGCTGCTGATGACGACGATGGCGATGGTGATGCGGATGCTTACGTTGATGATGGTGGTGGTGATTATGCAGATGGTGATGATGATAATGGTGGTGGTGATCATGACGATAATAGTGACGACGACGATGACGATGACAATGATGATGACGTTGGCGATGACGATGACGATGGTGATGATGATGATGATGAGCATGACCATGATACTGATCATGATGATGATCATGATCATGGTCATCATCATGACCAGGATGATGATGATGATGATGATGATGATGGTGGTGCTGGTGCTGGTGCTGGTGACGGTGATGATGATGATGATGATGATGATGATGATGATGATGATGATGATGATGATGATGATGATGATGATAAGGCTGGTGGTGATGAAGTTGATGTTGATGCAGATGATGGTTGGGATGATGCTGCTGATGATTGTGATGATGGTGATTCTGATGGTGATGGTGATGACGATGATGATGATGATGATGATGATGATGATGATGATGATGATGATGATGATGATAATGATGACGCTGATGCTGCTGCTGATGACGACGATGGCGATGGTGATGCGGATGCTTACGTTGATGATGGTGGTGGTGATTATGTTGGTTGTGATGATGGTGGTGGTGATCATGACGATAATGGTGACGACGACGATGACGATGATGATGATGATGTTGATGTTGATGATGACGATGACGATGACGATGGTGATGATGATGGTGAGGATGATGATGATGATGCTGATGTTGCTGCTGCTGCTGCGGATGATGATGATGTTGATGATGAAGATGATGATGATGATGATGACGACGATGATGATGATGATGATGATGATGATGATGATGATGATGATGATGATGATGTTGGTGATGATGATGATGATGATGATGATGATGATGATGATGCGGAGGAGTTGGAGCACTACGAGCAGGATGATGATGATGATGAGGAGGAGGAGGAGGAGGAGGGGGAAGAGGAAGGCCGTCACGCGTGACACCTTACGTCATCACGATTTGAGGATATAGCATAGAACTCGTTTGGGTCGTCTTGTAGCTACCTCGGCCCCCTGTGAGGCAGTCTCGGGGCTCCCCTGGGGCCCTCTTGGGCCGTCTTGGGGCCCTCCTTGCAGTGGTTGGTGCCTGAGGGCCGTCTTTGGGCCGTCTTGGATGTTTCGTGGGGCCTGGAGGGTTCATCTTTGAAAGAGCGTGTTCTGCCGCTGCTGGCAGAAAGCCTGGGGGTGGTCACTGGGGGTTTCCAACCCGTCCTTCCCCCCTCGCAAACCAGGGGGGGGAGGTCACTTGGGGTTCCAATCCCTCCCCCGCCCTGCCCATCATGAAACATGGGGGGGGTCACTACTGGTTCGAACCCCCCCCCCCTCGCCGCTGGCAAACGACTCCCCCTCCTCCCCCACTCTGAACAGTGAGACAGCGGTGGGGACAGTGGGGACAGTAGGACAGTGGTAGGGACAGTTGGGACAGTGGGACAATGGTGGGGACATTGGGGACAGTGGGGACGGTGGGGAGAGTGGGACAGTGGTGGGGACAGTGGTGGGGACAGTGGGGACAGTGCGAGAGTGGTGGGGGCACTGGTGGGGATAGTGGTGACAGTGGTGGGAACAGTGGGGATAGCGGGACAGTGGGATAGTGGTGGGGACAGTGGGACAGTGGTGGGGACGGTGGTGGTGGGAACAGAGGTGAGGGCGGTGGTGGGAACAGTGGTGGGGACCCGGGAGTCGTTTGCCCGCGGCGAGTAGGGGGGATGGGGGAGTTTGAACTGGTAGTGAACCCCCCCCCGTTGTCCGAGGGGTGGGGGCGGGGGCGTTCGATCCGGAAGTGAACCCCCCTGGTTTTTCGGAGGGCGGGGCGTTGTTGGGGGAAGGAGGGGGGTTGTTGGGGGAGGGGGGGTGGGGAGGGGTTCGAGCAGGGGGCGGGGGGGATTTTCGATTTTCGGAGGGGGGGGGGGGACCCTCGGGTTCCGGAGGAAGAGGGGGGGGAATTTCCACAGCAAAGCGGCGGGGGATCACGCTCACTCTCATCTTCGAACCCGCGTGGGGGCCGCTTGAGCCGTCTTAGGGCTATCGTGGATGCTTTTGGGGCCGTTCTGAGTTGACGGAAGCACGAAACGCGAGAATGCGAACCGCATTCGGAAACCGTACTATGGCAAATCCGTTCGCGGCCTCTCCGGGCCCTGTCCGAGGTCTTCTTGGCGCCCTTGGGGGCCCTCTCGGAGGCATCCTGGGCCGTCCTGAGGCCAGACGTGGCCGCCTCGGAGCCCTCCCGGCCCGTCCTCGGGGCAGCTCGTGCCATCGGGGTGGTCTCGGTTGCCCGCCTGGGCCGTCCCGGAAGGCTCGGGGCGCGGACACACACGCACTTGTCGCACGAGGGAGCGCGGCACCTCGGGAGCGCGGACCCGTCGCCTGCGCACCAGGGATCGTGGCCTCGGGAGCCGTGGGGGGGCATTCGCAGATGTCTTCGAGCGTGGACAGCACCCCTACCCTGACACGTCGATGGGTGAGTTGTCCGTGTTCGGTTCTCGAGAGGGCGCCGCGGCCGCCATTTTCCAGGCGTGCGCCCGCCAGGTTTGGGCCCGAGGTCGTTTTCACTAGACCACGTTTTGCTACGGGGGGTTCTCTCCATCCCCGATGCCTGCGGGTGAAGGTGGGAGGGGCTCCCCTGCTAGAGCACAGAACCCCATCCGGGGCAGCGCCTGGCACTGGAGCACGCCCGCCACCGTGCAGGCACGGTGGCCGGCGTTCGGCCTCTTAGGGGCCCTCGCAGGGCCCTGGGAACTCAAGAGACGCCTCGGGACGAAGCCCCTCTCGCTGGGGAGTTCGTCGAGACCTCTGGGACTCGACGTTGCGGAGAAATCATGACGTCGGGGTCTGGGTTGTAGAGCAACAGGAAACGACACAGACGTGAGCTTTCGGAGGGCCGCGCGGATTCGGGATTTCTGTGGATGGGCGCTGGGCCCCCCCTCCCTGGGGCCAGCGCCCAACGCCGACTCATCTTATGTTTATAATGTTGCTTAGTCGTATTCGTATGCCTATTCGTAGTATTCGTCGTACGATTAGTATTATTATGTGTATTAGTATTATTATTATTCTTCTCAACATGATGTGTTTATTCAGATTGTTCTAAGGATCAACCAGCTAAGGTCCCCCTGGCGCGTTCCGCGCCCCAGAGATGGAGGGCCTACCGCTGATCCAGAGGAATCCGCGCGGCCCCCCGAAAGTGTATGCTTGTGCCTTTTTGTTTTTGCCCCTCCATGGGTGATGGGGCGGTCCCAGACCCTCGACGCCACGGTTTGTTTGCAACGTCGACCATCAGAGGCCTCGACCCGTTCTTCCCCTGGAGCGGCTTTTCTATCCTGAGCCGTTCTTCGACGAGCCCGGGGCCCGGCGAGGGCCCCCGCAGGCGGAACACGGCAACACGGATCCCGTCGCGGCTTCTCCACGACGCGAGGGGGTCTGGTGTTCTGTTCCTCCTCGAGGCTGGGCCAGACGCCGGAATGACCTTTCGCCGGAGTGACCTTCGGGTGGCGGGCCCGAGGGGGTCCCCCGATCGCTGCACGCGAAGCTGTGGCAGCGGCCTGCGCGCCCGGGCTTGGCCCTCTCGCGCCCCCTCCCCCCTGGAGCCGCGCACCAAAGGTCACACTTGCCCACTATATTCCATTCGGGCCTGCCCCTCTGCAGGGGGATATATTCAAAAATGGTCCAACAATAGTGCAGGGACGATGTTTTGCGTACTGTTGGGCATTGTTTGAACATTTTGAGGGGTCTTTTTGAATCAATGTGTCGCTCAAAATCCGCCTGTAGGAGGACATGCCCGACCTAGGACTATATCGAATGGAAATCTTATGGGGAGGCTTGTCGGCTTGTCCAAGGGTGGCTGTCTGGGGGAGGGGTTGTCCGAATTCTTGCGGGGTTGACCAAGGGGTTGTCTGGACCGCGTCGTCTTGCCATCACGTGCACATGTCATTATCAGACATACCAGCAAAATCATGGCACAACCAGGAAGGTCGGGCCTGTCCCCCTACAGGGGGACTTTGGGCGAAAACTAGAAATACCCTAAACATGCACCAAAAATGCCAACAAAGAGTCAAAACATCGTCCCCATAATATATTTTAAGCTATTTTGGAATGTCCCCCCTGTAGAGGGACAGGCCCGACTTAAAACCAGGGCCACTCCTTGCGTGCAGCCGACAGGTGACGCCACTGGGCGTGATTGAATTCAACCTTGAACGATCGGGGACGTAATCGATTCGAGGCTGAACGATCGACGCGGTGTCAAAAACCTTTGCGCGCGCCGACGCCGCACGAACCTGCTGCAGCCGACAGCTGATGGGGCGGTCCGATTCGATGGATACTCGAGGCTTGAATCTGCAGAAGGTGGATCACAAGACGGACTGGTTCTCGAGGTGCAGGACTCCATGTGGACTTCACCCTGGGCCCTCCACCCTGGGAGAATGCCTGGATGATCAGACAGACCAACAAAAGCATGCCACGACCAGGGCCACTCCTCCTCCTCCTCCTCCTCCTCCTCCTCCTCCTCCTCCTCCTCCTCCTCCTCCTCCTCCTCCCCCTCCTCCTTCCCCTCCTCCTCCTCCCCCTCTCCTTGCGTGCAGCCGGCAGGCGATGGGGCGGTCCCAGTGCCCGCTCGGCACCGCCTGCGTCGCCGCCGTGCTGGCGTGGAGGTGCCGCAGCCCGTGGGCGGGCGACCCGCGCGGGCCCAGCACGGAGAGGTTGTTCGACGCCATGCTGCGGCAGCTCCCGCTGCTGGATCGTAGGAGGAGGAGGAGGGGGAGGTGGAGGAGGAGGAGGAGGAGGAGGAGGAGGAGGAGGAGGAGGAGGAGGGGGGGAGGGGGAGGTGTGGGAGGAGGAGAGGAGGAGGAGGAGGAGGAGGAGGAGGAGGAGGGAGGAGGAGGAGGAGAGGAGGAGGAGGGGGAGGGGGAGGGGGAGGGGAGGAGGAGGAGGCGGAGGAGGAGGAGGAGGAGGAGGAGGAGGAGGAGGAGGAGGGAGGAGCAGGAGGAGGAGGAGGAGAAGGGAGGAGCAGGGGCAGGGGGAGGGGGAGGGGAAGGAGGAGGAGCAGGAGCAGGAGGAGGAAGAGGGGAGGAGGAGGGGGAGGGGGGGGGGAGGAGGAAGCAGGGGAGGAGGAGGAGGAGGGGGAGGAGGAGGAGGAGGAGGAGCAGGAGGAGGAGGGGGGAGGGGGAGGAGGAGAGGAGGAGGAGGAGGAGGAGGAGGAGGAGGAGAGGAGGGAGGAGGAGGGAGGAGGAGGAGGTGGAGGAGGAGAGGGAGGAGGAGGGGGAGGGGGAGGGGGAAGGGAGAAGGAGGAGGAGCAGGGGGAGGGGATGGGGAGGAAGAGAAGGGGGATGGAGAGGGGTAGCAGGAGGAGGAGGAGGAGGAGGAGGAGGAGGAGGAGGACGCTGGTGAGGCGGGGGAGGAGGAGGAGGAGGACGAGGAGGAGAAGGAGGAGGAGGAGGAGGATGCGGCTAAGGCGACCACGAGTCATGGGGGGGGGGCGATACAGTCGAGGCCCATGCATGCTCGCCTCCAGGGTGCCATGGGTTTCTGTGGTTTGGATGGTTTTTGCAACTGAAAGCGTGACGTTGCCACAAAAATAATCCAGGGATGTCCTGGGGTCTCAGGGGTTGTTTTCCGCTTCCAGGGGTTCCTCGCCAGGCACCAGGACGGTCAAAAAAGATTCAGGATGAAAAGTTGGGCCTGGGGAGAATGTCGAGACCTCTGGGGTCCACGTATAGCATGACGTCGGGGGTCTGGGGATGAGGATGACACACTATCCTCATCCTAGGCCTGCCCCCTTGGAACGCGCTGCAGCGATGTCATCGCCTCAGAGCGTCCTGGGACACTCTCGGGCCGTTCCACAGCGCCCTCCAGAGCCGCCAGCTCTCAGAGATGCGCGATCTATCCTCGTCCGAGCTTGCCCCCACCCTGCCCTCGTCTCAGGGCACCGCTGCCCGCCTGTCCTGGAGAGCGAGCGCTCGTCGCAGACGTGGTGGACCCGCTCCGAGATCCTGGCCAGAAGGCGCCCCAGGCTTGGTGCAGGGAGCAATTACGGTCGTGAGTCTGTGTTGCGGCGGCGGCCCTGACGGCACGATGTGCCCTGCAAGCGGATAGCGTGTCGCTCCGCGGGGCGGGATGCTCGGAAAGGCTCGGGAGGTTGACGTTTGGATATTGACAGATTGATGACGTGTCGCGCCGAAGCGTGGTGGGCGAGAACCGACGCCGCGACGCGCTAACCACAAGTTCCTATGTGTAATTGGCGGCGCTGGTACGGTCAAGACGCTGAAATAAGGACCGCTTTGGGCTCAGGAGGGGCTCCGGCTTCAAGGCCAGTCCTCAGGCACAGGCCAGGGTCAAGTCGTGCCTGTCTCTCTACAGGAGGAGCATCCAAAAATAGTAAAAAAAAAATGTCCGGGGACGATGTTGCTACTATTTCTGATCACGTATGCGCATGTTTTTGGAATTTTTATGTTTCCTCCCGAGTCCGCCTGGAGGGGGACACGCCCGATTTCGTCCAGGGCCAGTCCTCCAGCGGCACGGGCCAGCGAACCCTGCCGTGGCCGGGGCCCACCGTGGCCAGAGGAGCTCTTTCGGTTCCAACGGCCAGTTCGAAGAGGGCGCCCGATTGCAACGAAGGATTGCAAAAAAAAACCCAGGATTGCAAAAAAAACAGTTTTTTTCTGCAATCCTTCAATCCAGGGTTTTTTTGCAATCCTGTGTTCTTCGGGTTCGTTGTCTGCCCTGGCTCGAAGAGAGGAAACGGCATAAACATATTTGTTTGGCGCTCCGCGCGGCTTTCTTGGATCCGCGCTGGGCCCGCCCCTTCCCCCCGGCGGCGCCTCCGCACCCCCCTCCCTGGCGCGCTCCACGCGCCAGGGAGGGGGGTCCAGTGCGGATCCAAGAAATCCGCGCGGAGCGCCAAAAATTTGCCCATGCAATTGTTATTCGGGTGCGTTGGCTGCTCTTGTGCATCCTGGGGAGGGTACCCTTAGATGTCCTGTGTGCCTTGGCCGACGGAGGGTATCATGTTCTTGAGGGAAACTCTTCTGGCCGGGGTCTATTGTATCACCGATTACACGTCGGTGCGTCTCCCCTGAGTTAGCGATATGATTTTGTTCCAAACGCGGCTCCAGATCATCGAGAACACAAGAGCACCTAACCCTGAGAACAAGATGATAACGTGGCCTCACTGAGGTCCCCGTCGTCCCACTATGGATGAGAAGTCTGGGCGGTTTGGCCTGGTACATCTGCAGACATGACCCCCTATCCCTAATGTTTTGGCCCTCCTACGTTGGGTTCCCTCCCAAAGGATGAGGCCTACCTGAAGATGTGTCGGCGACGTATCTCTGATTACACGTCGGTGCGTCTCCCCTGAGCTGGCGATGTGATTCTGTCGCATGCGCGGCCCCAGAGGTCCCGACCCCCTCCCCCAGGGAAGGTGTTTCGCTCCGGGTTCGGTGCGGGTGGCCTCGGGCCCCTAACACGGGCCCCGGACGCCGATATCAAGGAGGGACGCCGGGGCTGACGACACCATGCCGTGGGCGTTCCAGGGCGATCTGGAACGTTGTCAGAACGTTCGCCTGGGCCTCCCAGAGGGTATCAGAGCAGATAGGCTCGGAGGATCGCGCCGAGTCGCCGATGCATCGCCGATGCGGCTCGATGTGGAGCTCGATTGGCTTCACGTTGACGTCGCCGATGCATCGCCGACGTCGACGATGCATCGCCAGCGCATCGTCGGCGCATCGCCGATGCATCGCCAATGTATCGGCGATGCGGCGCGATCCTCCGACCCAATCTACTCCGACCCCATCTAGGAGGCCTCTAGTCAGAGCGTTCGGAAACGCTCTGAAAGGGCCGCGGCGCCCGATACATCCCTCAGAACCGCCAGATCTCAGAGATTCCCGGTGTATCCGAATCCGACTTTCTCCTGATACAGTCAGCCCGCATATTGAAGATGAGCAATTTTGTGACCTTTGCATATTTCCCGTTCTGTCCATCCTTGGCCGCTTTCGCCAGCTGCGCTCCGCGGCCGCGCCCCGCTTTCGCTCCGACAGTGGCTCCACCAAGCTGAATCAACATGAACGGAGGAGGAGGAGGAGGAGGAAGAAGAGAAGGAAGAGGAGGAGGATGGCGGCGGAAGGAGGAGGACGGAGCGGGCGGGATGAACAGGGATGAGGAGGGGGGAGGAGGGGAGGTGGAGGAGGAGGAGGAGGAGGAGGAGGAGGAGAGGAGGAGGAGGAGGAGGAGGAGGAGGAGCAGGAGGAGGCGGAGGAGGACGAGGAGGAGGAGGACGAGGAGGAGGAGGAGGGAGGGAGGGGGAGGGAGGGAGGAGGGAGGGAGGGAGGGAGGGAGGGAGGAGGGAGGGATGGGAGGGGGGAGGGAGGGGAGGGAGGAGGAGGAGGAGGGGAGGAGGAGGAGGAGGAGGAGCGGAGGAGGAGGAGGAGGAGGAGGAGGAGGGAGGTAGGAGGAGGAGGAGGAGGGAGGAGGACGAGGAGGAGGAGGAGGAGGAGGAGGAGGAGGAGACGAGGACGAGGGAGGAGGAGGCGGAGGAGGAGGAGGAGGAGGAGCGAGGAGGAGCATACTTTGTCCCTCAGGACCTGCAGCCGGGAGACCCGCCGCGCCCCGCCGCGCCCGCGCGGGCCTCTCCGCAGCTGGGCTGCGACGCCATGCTCACGCGGCACCTCCAGGAGCTGCTGCGCGCGGTCCTCTGGCAGCGCCAAGCCCAGAGCCCCTCCTCCTCCTCCTCCTCTCCCCCTCCTCCTTCCTCCGTCTTTTCGGCCTCCCCTCCTCTCCTCCGTCTTTTCTCGTCTCCTCTCCTCGTCCTCCTCCTCCTCCGTCTGTTCCTCCTCCTCCCTCCTCCTCCTCCTCCTCCTTTTCCTCCTCATCATCAGCATCATCATCAGTATTCTCCTCCTCCTCCTCCTCCGTCCTTCTCCATCCTCCTCCTCCTCCTCCTCCATCCTCCTCTTCCTCCTCCCCATGGTTTTCGGGTCTTTCCTCAGACCATGTTCGACGAACTTCTTCTTGGCCGAGGCTCGCCGTGGCCAGAAAACCGTTTTGCTCCTTTCTCAGAATTCTTCATACTTTAAGCACGATGACTCTGTGGTGACCCCCTTGTGACATTGCCCGAGGTCCCCTTGGCGGACGCGCTGCGCTCGCGCTGGCCGGTCTTCGAACTGCTGAGCGCGCTGCATACCGAGAACCGCGCGTGGCCACGGGGCTATCCGTGAGACGGGCGGTAAAATAGCAGCGCGGGCAGGGCAAAGAGGCTGCAGGGCTCGACGAAGAACACACTGCATAAACAAAAACTTCAGGAGGAGAAGAAATACACAGACACAATAAATCGTCGATTCCCCAGAAGGTATGGGAAAATATGGGAAGTGGGGAAAAGACGAAAATAGAAAAAAATAGAAAATATGGGGAATCCTGTTATTTGTGTGTATTTATTTGTGTGCCCGTGGGCCCCTTGAGAACTGTTGGCGCTCCGCGCGGATTTCTTGGATCGGCCCTGGGCCCTCGCCCCCCCTTGGCGGCGCCGCGGGCACCGCCACGAGCGCAGTCCGCGCGCCAGGGGGGGGGGAATCCAGCGCCGACCCCAGGAGTTCCGCGCGGACCTCCGAAACTCCATGCTCCTGCAGTAGCTCCCTCTACATGGGGAACATTCAACAATAGCCAAACAATAGTCTGGGGAAGATGTTTGATATTTTGTTGGCCATTTTGGCGTATTGCTTGATTTTCTTGTGTCGTCCCAAATCCTTCTGTAGGGGGACAGGCCCGACCTAATCCTAGTGTTGGCACGATGAATGCACGTAGGGAAACAAGCAATGATACAAACATGAAAACTCAGAGGCCCCCGCGCATTTCTTGCATCGGCGCCTGACACCACTCCCTGGCGCGCGGAGCACGCCAGGGGCGGCACCGGAGGCTCCGCCAGGGTGCCCCGGCGCCGATCCAAGGACTCCGCGCGGACCTCCGAGCTCTTGTGTGTATGTCATTGCGTGTTCCCCGGAGCCTGGCGCTCCTTCCCTTGGCACCGCTCGGACGTGCGCGTTTTGATCCTCGGCGAGGACCATCCAGGGGCCTCCTGGGCCACCTTGCGAAGCGTCTGCGCGCGAAGCCGGACACTGCACGGGCCGTGGGCGTCCGAGCGGCGGCAAGCTGAGCTGCCGGCAGCGCGGTGCGGCTCGTGCCGCCGCCCCCTCCTCCGGCGCTGCCAGTCCTGCCGCAGAGGCTGCTGCTGCCTCGCGGCACCGCTGCTGACGAGCGTCGGCGGCGGGCGAGGGGGGGCATCCTCCCAAAGGATGAGGAGCTCGGGGGCGGAAAAGAGGGGGGTGATGACTAGGGGGGGGTGGATACCATGGCGCGGGCCATGATATTTCCCCAGATTTCATGGCGCCTCTTCTTATTTCATTACGTCCCTGGCCCCCCCGCTGGGCCGCGCACATGCCGCCGGTCATGATTTGCACCCCCCCCTCTTGGACACCCCCCTCTTTGCCGCTCCCGAGGAGCATTGCCCCTCAAAGGTCCCCTCCCAAAGGGTTAGGAGTTAGGACTGGGCCCTCCGACCTGGGGCTCCACTCCCAAAGGCTTGGGATCGGACGTGTCGGCGATGTATCACTGATTACCTTCGGTGGCGGGCCAGGGGGGGAAATGAGCAGGAGAAGACCTTGCAAGCAGGCGGCGGGGCTTCTCAGACGCCCTCGCGCCTTCCGAGAAGTTTTCTACGTCTTCGGGGAATCGAAGAAGAAACAAACATATAAACATTAACTTTTGGCGCTCCGCGCGGACTTTTTGGATCCTGCGTTGGGCCCCCCCCAGCGGCGCCTCCGGCGCCGCCCCTCGCGCGCTCCTCGCGCCAGGGAGGGGGTCCAGCGCGGATTCAAGAAATTTGCGCGGAGCGCCAAAAGGTTATGCAAGAAATCCGTGCGGAGCGCTAAAAGTTTATGTTCATGTGTTTTTGTTCTTCTTCTGGGGAAGGCTTCGACAACTTCTCAGAAGGCCTGGGTGGGGGGTCTGCCGAGCCTCCTGTCGTCGAAAAGTATCCTCTAGGAGGAACATCCCAGAATAGTCCAAACAGCAGTCTGGGGACGATATTTCTATCACATGTTTTGTTTGGCCATCTGTGGCTTTTTTCTGCCTATTGAAAATCCGCCTGCAGGGGGACACGCCCGACCTGAGCCTTCTGAGATCGCGGGTGGACAGACCTCCTACCCTGACACGTCGATTAGTGAATTGGCCGTTTCCGGTTCGCGAGAGGGCGTCGCGGCCGTCCTTTTTGCGGGTCCAGGTCCGTCAGTTTCGGTCCCAGGCTGTCCTCCTCCTCCTCCTCCTCCGCCTCCGCCTCCTCCTCCTCCGCCTCCTCCTCCCCCTCCCCCTCCCCCTCCCCCTCCCCTCCTCCTCATCCTCCTCCTCCCTCCTCCTCCTTCCTCTCCTCTCCTCTCCTCCCTCCTCCTCCTCCTCCTCCCCCTCCTCCTCCTCTCCTCCTCCTCCTCCCCCTCCTAAGGGAGGCTTCTCCACCGCCGATGATGAGAGGCTCCGCCCGCCCGCCTCCCCCCCCCCCCCCGGGCCTCGCCGCGAGGCGCGCGGGCACGGCCCCGGCCGGCCGAGGGGCCGCGCGCCCGGCGTGCTGGCGACGGGCACGGCCCCCAAACGGAAGGTCGGGCCTGTCCCCCTTTGCAGGGGGATGTGCGACGAAAAGTCCGCCGCCCCCTGCTGATTCTCGGGGGAAAACAAACCTACCTCGCTTTTGACCGCCCTCGCTTCCAAGAGATACCAAGAGATGCCAAACTACGGCCTGTACCGGTCAGGCCGCTTGACGAGGAGGTAATTCACGCTCTGATTCAGAGCGTGAATTACCTACCCCGCTTTCGCTTCCAGGCAAAACCAAGGCATACCACGCGCCTCCTCGGCAAGCGGCATGACCGGTACAGGCCGCAGTTTGGCATCGCTTGGTATCTCTTGTAAGCGAGGGTGGTCAAAAGCGGGGTAGGTTTGTTTGCCCCGTAGATTTGCGACGATTATCCCGGCAAAGCAACCTAACAGCGATGTGTAGAAGCATATGTGGAAGCATTCCCCTTAAGATTCAGATGAGAATCCAGTTGTAGAGTTCTGCTGTTCTCGCAGTCGCAGTCGCATTCGCGATGACAGTCGCAGTGGCAGCGGCAGTCGCAGTCACAGCCTCAGCCATGCCTCAGTATCAGCCTGCCTCAGCCTCAGCCTCAGCCTGCCTCAGCCTCAGCCTCAGCCTGCTTCAGCCTCAGCCTCAGTCTGCCTTCAGCCTCAGCCTCTGTGCCTCAGCCTGCCTCAGCCATCAGCCTGCCTCAGTATCAGCCTGCTTCAGCCTCAGCCTCAGCCTGCCTCAGCCTCAGCCTCAGCCTGCTTCAGCCTCAGCCTCAGCCTGCCTTCAGCCTCGGCCTCAGCCTCAGCCTGCCTCAGCCTCAGCCTGCATCAGCCTCAGCCTCAGCCTCACCCTGCCTCAGCATCTGCCTGCCTCAGCGTCTGCCTCAGCCTGCCTCAGCCTCAGCCTCAACCTCACCCTCAGCCTCAGCCTCAGCCTGCCTCAGCCTCAGCCTCAGCCTCAGCCTGCCTCAGCATCAGCCTGCCTCAGCGTCTGCCTCAGCCTGCATCAGCCTCAGCCTCAGCCTCAGCCTGCCTCAGCATCAGCCTGCCTCAGCCTGCCTCAGCCTGCCTCAGCCTCAGCCTCAGCCTCAGCCTCAGCCTCAGCCTGCCTCAGCCTCAGCCTGCCTCAGCCTCAGCCTCAGCCAGCCTCAGCCTCAGCCTGCCTCAGCATCAGCCTGCCTCAGCCTCAGCCTCAGCCTCAGCCTCAGCCTCAGCCCCTGCCTCAGCCTCAGCCTCAGCATCAGCATCACCATTCTCAGCCTGTGCCTCAGCATCAAAAGTGGCCCGGGAATGAAGTTCTGGGAACTCGAAGACCACGAAGTGGCCTACAGTTGGCTCCGGGCATCAAAATGTGGCCCGGGAATGGAGTTCTGGGAACTCGAAGAGCACGAAGTGGCCTACAGTTGGCTCCGGGCATTCAAAATGTGGCCCGGGAATGGAGTTCTGGGAACTCGAAGAGCACGAAGTGGCCTACAGTTGGCTCCGGGCATTCAAAATGTGGCCCGGGAATGGAGTTCTGGGAACTCGAAGAGCACGAAGTGGCCTACAGTTGGCTCCGGGCATCCAAAATGTGGCCCGGGAATGGAGTTCTGGGAAGTCGAAGAGCACGAAGTGGCCTACAGTTGGCTCCGGGCATTCAAAATGTGGCCCGGGAATGGAGTTCTGGGAAGTCGAAGAGCACGAAGTGGCGTACAGTTGGCTCCGGGCATTCAGAATGTGGCCCGGGAATTGAGTTCTGGGAGGTCGAAGAGCACGAAGTGTGTGACTGTTTAAGAAAAACGAGTTCGGACCCAGCTCCCCGGATGCCGCCCGGACCCCCCTGTGGAGTCATGATGCTCTTTTGACCTTATTAGAAACATATCAGTCTTCGTTGTTAGGTAAAAAATCTGCCGCCCCCTGTGGATTCATCACCAGGGGTGCCTGGCGTGCCAGACTATTGTGGTTTTGGTGCTGGTTCTCTTTCCAAAAGAACTCTCCCAGTGGGTTTCGGCATGACCCGCCGGCCACCCGTAGATCGCCCAATTCCCGGAAAAATCCTCCTAGACGGTTCAAGATGGCCTCCAAGATGGCCAGGTTGGCCCAAGATGGCCTCCAAGATGGTCCAAGATGGCCTCCAAGTCTGCCCAAGATGGTCCAAGACGGCCTCCAAGATGGCCCAATAGAGTCCAAGACGGACCAAGACGGCCCAAGAGGCCTCCAAGACGGCCCAAGAGGCCTCCAAGAGGTCCTCCAGGAGGGCCCGACGAGGCCGAAATCATTGATTTCCCGTAGCTTTTTGAAGGATGTGGGATTTGCGTCGTCTCGGCATTCCGACGGCTCAAGACGGCCCAAGGGGCCCCCAAGATCGCCCAAGAGGCCCCCAAGAGGGCCCCATGCGGCCCAAGTGGCCTCCAAGATGGCCCCAAGAGGGCCCCAAGACGGCCCAAGAGGCCTCCAACACGCCCAAGATGGCCTTCAAGACGGCCCCGAAGCGCCCCAAGAGGGCCCCAAGTCGGCACAGAAAGGCCCCCAAGACGGCTCCCGACGGCGTTAGACGTGCCAGGAACCCACCAGGATAGCCGAAGTTGGCTCAAAGCTGACCCAAGATGGCCCAAGAGGCCCCCAAGAAGGCCTCCAGGAAGG